TCTGGAATACATCGCCAATAAGCCAAGGAGACTGGCTGGTGGGCAGGTCAGCCAAGGAAGGAGAGAGAGACGCCTGGTGACTGTAAACACATCGGCCATGATTGCAATACAGCCCAGGTGGCACCGGAATGCAGTGAAGCCTCCAGTATTCTGGTTAGCCTGAGCCCCTGGGAAGGAGCAGTTAAGATGACAATAGAAATAGAGCAAATCCCAAAAGTGTCTGAATAAAAATGTGCCACCATGTAGCCACTGCCATTGTAAGCATGTATTACCTGATTGATGTCATTTGTGAAAAGTCACCACAGCCTCCATGCTGTTTCCATTTAGAAGGTGGAGACAAGGCAGAGTTATTGCCATCTGTTTGTCTTTAGGGCAGCCCTCCCCCGGGGACTCCTGTAACCCTGCGGTCCTAGAGTTTGGGAGAGCAGTGCTCCCAGCTTCTCCCACCCACAGGTGACACCCAGCATGGTGGGCCGGCTGTGGGTGGACCAAGACCACCTACACATTAGGTGTGATGGGGGCCTTTGCAGAGAATCGAACAGCAACCGCAGGGAGTGAGCTGACCTTGGCTGAGATAGAACAAAGTGCTCACAGAGCCTCTCTTCAATCCACTGTCCACACTGCCTCCCGAAGCGATCGTTCCAAATGCAAATGTGTTCAAGCTGCTCTCCCTGCTGAAAACCTTTCAATGGCTGCCCACTGCCTACAGCGTAATTTGCAATCCCTTCTATGTCCTGACCCCCCAGGGGCTGGCTCTCTGCCACCTGAGTTTTGGCTGTACACTTTTTTTTTACAACCTTTGCTCCAGCTTCCTGACCTGCCCGCTGCTCCCCTGCTGGGCCCACCTTCATCTCTACCATGAAGCTTCAGCCCTGGCATCACCTCCTCGAAAAAGGTGGAGGTACCCCACCACTGGAGTGGCCTGCACCCCTCCTCTGTGTTCTCCAGGCATGCTTATACTCCTGGATGTCTGCTTCTGGACGGTTTGTCCTTCTCCCTTGCTAAAGCCCTGGAAGGCAGAGATCGCGTGCTATTTGTGTTGGTAACTGAGCCGGATCTGGCCTGGCTCAGAGCAAATGCTCAGCATTTGGTGAGTGACATCCAGTATCGGAGGCAGCTCCAGCCAGTTGCTCAAAGTGCTGCCCTTTAGAAGCAACCAAGGGCAGTCCGGAGCTCGGCTCTGACACCAATAACGAGGTGTAGACTATCTCCCAGCAGAAGGAACAAGTTTCCACGAGGGCAGTGGCATCCAGCCAATGCCAATCATGATGAAGAAGATCCAAGCTGGAGTTTCTCAGGCAATAGTAACAAATGACAACTTTAGTCTACAGACAGAGACTACCGATAAAAGAAAGCTACGTGGGTTTTCTTTATTATTGAAAATAAGCAAGGCCGTGCTTCAAAACAAGACAGAATGGCCTCTCCCTCCTCTCATATTTCAAAATTAATCTACTCCCAGACAATCTGAAGAGGTTTCTTTCTCGTTACAAGGGGAAGGGGGTGTGGATTTTAGGTCAGCAGATTTATTGTTTCCAGATGTTTGCAGCTCTGGGATTTGCTGAAGGATTTCAGAGAGGAGCGGGGAGGCGCATCAGAAGGTGGGGTGAGCAGAATGGAGACAGAGACAACAGCCACAAGAGCAGGAGAAAGAGCTCTTAAAGTCACAGGGGAGGGTGGCATCTCTGCAAATTACCCTGAGGACGAGGCTAGAGGCCCTTCACTATGGCCACATGGTCTTAAAAGAAACACGTATGAAGTAAAGCCATTTGTTTTAAAACTAAATGGAGAGCGTCATTATAAACACATGACAAAATCTATAGGGCATGTTCCCGTGCCAAGCAAAATAAGCCTGAGCTTCTGCAATGCCGGCAAGGCGTTGCCCTCCTAACAGTATCAGAAGAGAGTTCATCTTTTGGGGAATCCTCCCTGCAGGGCCTTTTCTGTAAATGCGTTGTCAGAATGTATGTGCAGGTCTTTGCAGCCCTGGAGGAAAAAGCAACTCTAAGCCCTGGAAGTGCCATCTGAAACTCTGTCCGTTTGACTCACAGCAATATCCGGGACCTGAAAATGCTTAGGAAGTAAAATTGAGAGAAGGAGAAAGCTTGCGGAATATTCTGTTTTGAACTCAAGAGACGCTGTCCTCTGATAGTTTTCTGAAGTAACAGATAATAGATGGACTTCCAAGGCAGTGCTGACGTTAGAAAATGTGGTCCATAGGCCGGGCGCGGTGGCTCAAGCCTGCAATCCCAGCACTTTGGGAGGCCGAGGTGGGCAGATCACCAGGTCAAGAGATCGAGACCATCCTCGTCAACATGGTGAAACCCCGTCTCTACTAAAAATACAAAAAATTAGC